TTGTCTACCAAAAAACAATTCAAAGTTCACTTTAATTTTTCTTGCTAATTTATCTTTTATTTTCGTACTTTTAATATTGCTTTTTACGTTTAGTTTTCTTGTAAAACTGTAGCGTACACAGCCTTCACATAGAAATTATAACTTTTATCAAATTACCCAAATTGCTATGTTACCATTTTGTTGATATTTCGATGTAAATTTATTCGATTATAAGCAAAGCAATCAACCAGACAACACGTCTGTCTTTGCATTTTATTTTTAAAAGAGTTGAAATTATTTATTTACTACAATTCTTTACTAACAATGCTAGTGTAAAGCTAGAACTAACACTATCTTACATCTAGAACTAGAATCATTCGGGCTTAGCCGTCTTAAGAGACGAACGACTACGGCGTACTTTTAATAAAAATAATACAGGAAAGAAATATTAAGATGTTTATAATTTAAGATAATATCTAATTGATTAAATACTTTTTTTTAATTAATTAATATTTGAAATTTAATAATCGTTAGTTATGCAACCCAATACACACTTCATCGAATTTTTACTTTCAATTAAAATCTATAAATAATTATTAAAAAATCGTTTAAAATGAGTTAAATTACTAAATTTACATAATATATTCTAAATATTAATTATAATGCATTAATAACTGTTGATTGTTTTCTAATTTTTTTATATTTGTATACTAACCAGATTGTTGTCTCGACAAGTTTTGAGAACCTGAATTGTGTAGCCTCGCAGTCTCATGTTAGATTTAAGAGTTTTCTTTATTCATTATAAGAGAATTAATTTATGTGTATATAGTGATTAGAATTTTTCGTGGCAGGTAAGAATTTTTTATGGATACTTTACTTCTTATTTCCGTGACGTTTCGAAGTTTTAAGGTTATGTTTTGATTTGTCTCAGGGTTTATTATCGTTTTAAGACATTTTTTTTATAATCAGCGTATTTCATCACCTTACAGCTTGTTTTTATGCGTCACGTGCTTGCAGACTTTAATTTAAGCATCTTGGGTTTATTTATTGAATATATAAATTATTTTTGTACTTAATTTAATTACTTCTTACAAAAAAAGGGTTGTTTTTGTTTTTTTTTTAATATTGAAATTAGTCGAATTAGTTTAAATTAAAATGTTAATTTAATTAAAGAAATTAGTTTATTTTAATATTTAAATAATTAACCCCAAAAAATCCGTTACAAAATTCAANATAAACCGCACATAAAAATTGCTTTAATATTGGCAGTACCTTCTCTACTTCAGCAATGTGTGTTTGTGATACCCACCATTGTAAAGCACTTACATTACATAAGACTTCCTCCGAAAACATTACTGATGAAAATGGTTCCATTTTTGCTTCTAGTTTTATAATTAGCGGTAGTAAACCGGTATTAGCATACATTTCCTTAATTGTATTTAAGGCCTCCTCTTTTTCTACAGATATTAACTTATACATAGTTTTAGTAACATCTAAAATATAGGCTATTTAATGGTTAGACGTAAGTGCCTGCTTATACCGTTTATCAAAAACTTTCATTTGTACAGATAATAATTTTTCCTCGAGTAATGTTTTCAATTCTTTCCATATTTCCACTGCATCAGAGAGGAAAGCATTCTTTTTTTGTAATTTGTCAAGTGCTATAGTTATGGGTTTTAAAACATTCAAATAATCTTCCGCTGAGCGTTTGAGACCAATGTTTGAAACTTTTTTGTATATTGTCGAATCTATTTCGTTTTTATTCTCATCACACACTTTTAATAGTTTATCCCATTGACTTACATATACTTCCAAACAATCTGCCATACTATTCCATCTCACATCACATGGCAGCACTAATGCTTTTCCATCAAGCTGTCTGTATTTGGCCCTTGCTTATTGATTATTTCTCAAATACTTTATAATTTGTGTAACGTGCTCTTTGATATTTGTTACTTCTAAATCTTTGCAAAGTAGGTTTAAAAGATGAACTGAACACCCATAAGTTATCACTGAAATGCTGGGGTCCAATTTTTCTTGTAAGGTTTTTCGCATTAGTGCCATATTAGCAGCATTATCTGTTACAAATGATGTCACGTTACAGTTATATTTTGATTTACATGAGGAAATTATATTGCAAGCAATTTCAGTTAAATAGTCACTTGTATGGGGATTTCCGGATGTATCTATAGTTTCATATAAAAAAGAGTGTCCAGTTTCAGTGGTTATACAAGCGCAAACTATAGGTTGAAAATAGTACTATTTTATTCATTTACGTCGTTTTAAGTTGCAATAAATACTATTTACCTTCAACTAAATTACTTTCTATGTTACATGGTACAGGGTCTCCTCTATCAGAGATTTTGAGTTTGCACTTCTCATGGTGTTCTTTCATCCTTTGAACTAGTCCTTGTATATTTTTTCCGCAATTCTTACAAATTGCTCTGCTACCGGTCTTTCCTTTTTCCATTTTTTCTAAGTAATAATGCCAAATTTTGTCTTTTTTTCTGCCGTCTAATTTATTTTACTCACTTCACCTTTACAGTTTGTTAACAGAGACTAAAGATTTCAAACACGAAACACTTTTTATATAGGAAAAACAACAAAAAAACGGTTAGTAAGGGCTTCGTCGCGACTCGTAACGTATTTCGTCGCGACGATTGTCTCGA